CAGAATCACAGTGTTTTAATGCTCTTAATACTTTTAACTTGAGATATTGATTGATCCTACATATGTATATTATGGCTTTTTTATGTTTTTGTTTTCCATAGTATATAGTAAAAAAATGTATGTGGAACTAAAAATTACATTGTAATGGAAATTTATGTGAATGAAGCTAACAGAGTGGGTGAAGGAAAAAATGTGATCTGATTAACCCAAGCTATGAGGCCTTTAAAAGTATTAGTTAATGTCCAGTGTTTAAACTGATTGAGCAAACTGGTCATCTCTGTGCTAATCATAGGATGCAGTCATACTTGTTTACTTGCTAAAGCACCAACTTGCATTTTATTTGGGACAGCATTCTTTTATATGCTGAATAGCTGATATCTTTGATGTAGAGTAGGTTTTTGAGAGGATGATTATAATGAAGTTTCAAGTTTTTATTAGTATCCTGTATTGAAATGTATAATACTGTATAGATAATACACCACAGAAATGTGTAAATAATTCTTAGTATTTGGTGGAATGGTTTAAATGCTCATGCTATTTTATATTTGTATAGCATACCAGCTCTTATGTAAAATTCTTCAATATATTCTATTATCCTCTGTTTATATCTTAATGTTTTGGGAAGTAACTTCTGTTTTCCCTCAGTGTTCAAAGCATTGACATATTTTTGGAAGTAGCTTGATTAAAGAAAAATAGGTATGTAGATCTATGCCATCAAAGTTGGGTCTCCCAATACTCTTGTGTTGCACAGTAGATGGAGAACGAGTTCGCCAAAGCCAAGTCTCCCCTAAACCCAACATTCCGAAGAAGCCCACAGCGGGCCCAGGGGTACCAGTGGGCCCCCCCAGAGGGTCCAGGCCACTATGAAATGCTACCGTCGAGAGGTAACCCTGCCGGATGTGTGCAGGGAGCCCATGCGCCTCCATGTCTAACATTCACTGCCTTCTGTGCTGCTGTGTGATCATTTTACAGAGAATGTTTACTCATTGTTTATACACTTTTTTTTTACACACATACACATGCATGTGTGTGTGTCTATTAAAAAAGTTACATGTGTATTTTTAGAAGTAACATTGTGATCTTTCTTTTTCTTTTTTTTGCTAGGCAGTTAGTGTTAGAAATGGTTATGATAAGGTTAACTTTTTTTGAAGCGTGAAGTGTGATATTAATCCTTATAATTTTGACTGTTAAGGATCAGCGTTCACTGTCAACTATGGCAAATTATGCTGTATGAGGATATTCTTGATAAAGTATCATGTTTGTTACTCTTTGTAGAAGCATGAATAGTGTAAAAGGGAGAAGTTGGAATTAAGAGTTCAAATATTTATTTATGATCATGGTTGACAGTAAGTACTTTATTTTAGTTAAAGGATTGCCCAGCCTGCTCCCTCTCCCAATCCCAGAGTATACTTTGTTGGCCATTGTTTGCATTGTGTGTTTGAAGGACTGGCCAGTATTGTGGTCCTATCCCTCCCAGATGGCTCCCCATAGCAGATCCGCAGCTCCCTCCAGTCGCAGGGGGTGACGTCTGGGGCCAGGGGGAGGTGACACCCCTCCCTCTGGTCCTGCCACCTTGTCCCGCTCCCCCACTGTCCAGGCGGGTGAGGGTCAGCTGACCCCCGCACCAACTCCCTCACCCGTGGGATTCAGAAGATGCTGAAGGCAGCATCACGGTCCAGTAAGACCATGTGGAAATGTTCCTCTGGCGCGCTCGCACTGGAGGGAGACTCAAGCATATGGCTGGGGAGTACTTGATCATGATTGAGGAGGTGGTGTTGCATCTCTCTCACTCAGGCTATAGTGCTATCAGAAATGTCCCCCAATTGTGTGCTCTGAATCTCTCTACAGTAACATTAATGACTTACCAGGCAGGGTGCTTCAAACTTGGTTGAGGGAAACTCCGCTTTAAACAAAATAATTGTAGATTATATTACATTAGTAATGGTTAAAGCCTTTTTTTTCATAGATCATCTTATGCAGGCTTTAATCTTCATAATTAGGGTTGCTTATTATTTTCCATAAATAAGATGTTTAAATAACTAAACATAATTAGCATTAGTATTCCATTAGTAGTATTGGTTCTCTTTTTAAAATCCTGTTTCTCACATTGTCATACAGAAAGCATTGGAACTAGCATATGGCTTTACAATCATGGCCAATTTAGGTGTTAGCTGACTTAGCATCAGCTGATAAGAAGCTGTTAATTGGTATTCAAAGCCAGATTATTCTTTGTCCACATGAAATTGACTTTAAAAAGTGAATGTAGTTTGGTTATAGTGGTTTCCGAAACCCTAAGTTCCACAGTCTTCCTAAACACATTTCAACTTCTGTTACTCTTTCTACCATTTGGGGCATTCTGCTGCATAATAATGATGAGTGGTATTGCAGGATCATGGCTGTGGTTCGCCTTTATGACTCTTGTTTTATGTATTTTGTGGTAACTAATTGAATTTCCAGGTAGAGCAAATTATTAACAAACTTGGAATTGCTCTCTAGTCTGTCCATATTGCTATCTAAAAACCTCACAGGAAATATGATGTAAAAACTATCTTGACTTGTATACATTAAGTTTTAATAATATTTACATAAAAGATGTCTCGAAAAGGATGCTCAGTTTTTATGTAAGGTTAATGTTAAAAGGGAAAGCCGTCCTTCACCTCACCAGGTTGTGATGAAAATGGTAAGATGTTGTGGTTTGTCTGTTTTGCAGGAGTCATAGAAAACATGTAGGTGATGGTATTTATTTTACTATGGGTTGTGCATGACCTGAGTATGTACCTTTGATTATGAGTGCATGGTAAAAGCTTCAGGATATGTGGTAGTGTTGGTTTTATATTATGAATATGTTTGTCATTAAGTTTGTTAGCATGCAGATTATATTTCTGTTCCATTTTGAATAGCATGAAATATCTGTTTTGGATAATTAACCTTTGGTTATGGATGTTTTTGTAGGGTAGGTTCCTAACTTATTTTATACACCTTTGACAAGCAGAGGAAGATGGCATGAGGGCACGGGAACCGAGCCCACTCTGGAGCGTTCCAAGTCTGCATTCTATAAGAGTGAAGGTATATACCACATACCAACATTCATTTCATATTGAATAACGTAGAGTAGTTATGGCAGTTTCTGCTTGATCAGTAATCATATTTTGTATGAAATTGTTGCTGTTACACTAGACAAAAAACACATAGTCCCACCTTATGACCTCATGAGATATTAGTATTTTAGAGAACAAATATCATTCTAGTTTTAGTCCCTGATCTTTTTGCTATGATTGCTCCCTCCCTTTATCCTGTTGTAGTTTGCCTTTAGTCATGATACTAACAAAGTAGTTTTTTTGCCTTCAGTTTTATTCAGTTTTATGACTTTGTATCTTCTTTATTTTAGTCAGTTATTCATGTGATCAATGTGTCCCTGCAATCATGGCTAACTAGTGAATTTAGTTAGATTTTTTTTTTCTTTCTTTTGTTCTTTTTGCTTCCATGTTTGCAATTTCATAGTGGTCAGTATACACATTTGTTTTCTATTTGCAACCTGCATGGCATTTTAACTAACCAAAGATGCATGTTTGTTGTTTTATTGCCGTCTGGTTGACCAGTGGCGAATGAGAAGCGCTCAGCACTCCAGCGCCGTTCTTGGTCTCTGTCTCGTAAAGGTAAGAACAACTTTGAAGGCCCACTTTCATTTTACTGTTATTATTTTGAAAGTAACTCATGTAAATTTGTCATGATTATTTGTGAACTTTTTCTCATTCTTTTTTTTTTTTGCAAGATTGAGATAACATTATAGTCCTGTAATCCATGAACAAGACAAGAAAGACTGATGTTAGAATTTGTTATGCCAGAGATTAAGAAAAAAAGAAATGTGAGCGAGTTATGGTGATGTGTGATATAAAAGAATTTGCGAAATGGAGAGTTACTGTTAATATTTTTGAAGCATTGTCTTTTTAATGTTTTAACTTTTTGTTTATATCTTATGAATGTTTTCAAAATGTTTAAAAGAAGTAATATAAGACAATACATTTTTACCTGACAAATTTTTATTTACTGTACATGGGTTAAAACATTTTAGAAATGAAAAGTTTTTGATCCAGCATTTCTTCCTCCGGCAAGTCTCACAGTTCCTTGGAGGGGGTACGTTCTCCAGAACTTACATACCATATATATATATATATACATGTATAAAGCAGATAATATATGTATATATATGTATCAGCCTTTGGTTTTCCTTTTCCTAGATTGCCTAGATAACATGTATGATATGTTTAGAGGCTGTCATTAGATGGAGATTTTAGTTGTCAGAGCCATGTATTGCTTATACAATATTGTTGCAAAGCAGTTTTTCACATCTACAGTACAATGCTAGTACTGGCAGCTGTATGGCTTAAGATTATAAAGGAAAATATATTATAGAAGCATTTTTTCATTGTGAGTGATTATTATAATTCATTGTATTGCCATACATTTGATAGGACATTAAAGTTCTTTAGTATCTGTTGATGATTTAAGCGCATAAGTGATATTAAATTGCTAATGATAAACTTCACATGATATTCATATAGCATCAAGACTGAAGAAAAAAAATTGCCATGTAGATTTTTTTAAAACTAATGATTATTATTATAGAGAATAGAGTTTCAAGAAGCAGTTACAGTAGAGGTAAGTAGGAGAATATACTCCAGTGAGTGATGTAAAAAAAATAGAAAAGAAAAAAGGAAGATAACTTTAATGTTAAGGAAAAAGATTAAAAATATGATAATTACAAACATCTTGTATGCATGATGTTCAATCATTCATGTCCTGTGAGGAGGTGATTGGACCTTTGCAGACCTGGTGAAATGTGTTCAGGTTTACAAATATTTGCAGCCCTTCTACAGGTCATTTTAGTTCTGTTTCTTCAGTCTACCTTTCTCAACATATATTTCTTTTTTCTGATTTATTTATAAAGTGGGTAGCAATTCAATATAAAAATGAAAAACAAATTTCTCCCATTTTGCTTTGCCGTCTTTCTTGCTTCGTTTCTCCTGCTCTCTGTGAGGTTTAGTTATTTTAGCTTTTATTATCATATAGCATTACTTTAGAGAAATGCTTTTTTAATTAATTTAATTTCTACTACTGCACCTTGGCTCACCTAACAGCTGTAAAATACCTGTTTACAGTGTGATGTAGATTAGTCTTACTGTTTACTATATTTATATTGAAAATGAAATTTTGCTCAAGATTGATGATTGCATAATCCAGTTAATCACTAATGTTTTCAGATTTCAACTTTTTGCTGTAAATGTGTGAGAAAATGTTGACCTGGTTGGAGGGAGTTCATATAATGTGTTATGGTACCTTTGGAATGCTGGGAGTGATGATTTTGGTAGATGAGGTGTGGTACATTACACATTTTTTTGTTTTATTTTTCTCTTCAAATTTTATGATTCTCAATTTTTGATTTCATTAGTTTATTGAATCTCCACCTCTGGTTACATGAAAGACTCATTGGCATAAAAATAATGAAAATACACTTTCTCTTCCAGGGGAGACAGTAGCCAATGGTGATGATACAGAGGCACACCACAGCACTCTCTCGCAAAGCAGTAAAGAGGTATGTTTTACAGAAGCTTTGGCTATCGGATGTTTACATTTTGTTGAAGTACATAAATTGGGTTGTATTGGAAAAGAAAACTATTGAAATATAGTGTCTGAGAGGCTTTAGACTCAGTAAAATTTCCACCAACAATTTATCTGGAGGTTACTAATATGGTACAATTGTTCCACAGGGCTCTCCAACAAGGACACCTCCCTAACAGATGACTCAATCTCCAAGGACAAGAAGAAGAAGAAGAAGGGCCTGCGTACCCCAAGCTTCCTGAAGAAGAAGAAGGACAAGAAGAAGGAGAAGGAGGCTGCCCACCACTAGTGCCCCAAGTCCCCATTTCCTTCATAGACTCCCGTCTCTGGTAGACCAATGCTGGTAAGCAGCACTTTGTCTCATTGCTTCTGTTAATTATATTGATGAGCTGGAAGCCAAAGTATTTTGAGTTAAGGAGGATAAACTTAAGTGTATGATAACTTTTGAGAGATAATGCATATGTAAATTTAATATTAAAAAAAAATTTAAGTGCATTCATTTGTTGCAATTAGACTGATAACTTATTTTTAGGCCATTATTTTTTCAGACACTGCCAGAATCTGTAGATAGCAAAGAGGAATATATTGTGGGAGCCCCTTCATGGTGCTGGCGAGAGGCGTGCTGCTGACATTGTTCATCGGATCCAAGACTTGTCAACCTAAATTCCCTGTCAGCCTATTTCTATGTTCTCCCTTTCTTTTCATTCAGTTTTACAGATAAGGCAGTGTTAGTGATGAAAGCTATACTTTATTGTGTAATTTTTAGTGGTACTATTTGTAGTATGTAGATTTTCACCAAAACAGTTTTAGGTTTCAAGATGAAGCTAAAAAAATTAATAGCTTTGTGATGATGAAAATTTGAATATTTTATTGATATCTGTTAGGCTCTCTATATGATTTGGATCCTTTTGTTAATCCCAGGTTATTGTAGCTGGTCAACTTCAGCTTTCATTAGAGTGCCTCAAGTCAAGTTTTAGATGCTGATGAACACCTTCATGTCAATGCTTGATGCGAGTGATAGTGTGTATGGATGTGTGAAACTTGCTATCATGCAGAAGTTAAAATGCAGACAAACAGTACACCAGTGATGTATGTAATGTCTTGGTTGTTTCATAACGATACCCACCTGCTCTAAAAGGCACAAGTCCCCAGGTCAGCTTGTGCCAACTCATACAGAATTTAGTAATGTACAATCATAAGTGATTTTACAGTCTTGGCACACCCTGACTTGCAGACTAAGAAGGGTTATTTAACTATGATTCATTTTATTTCTTCATGTGGATGAATGAGTGCAACACCAGCCCATTCTCCTTTTACTATCGTCCTTCCACGGATAGTTGTCGGATCAGCGGTCTCTCATCTCACCCCACCAAGTCTCACCATTTGCACCAAATGGTTCACAAGATGAAAGAGAGACTAGTAGATGGCTCTTTTGATCTTCCCAACCCTAATTTTGTTCCATTTTAGACCTCACATAAGGAGGTTACATGGAAGTGAAAAACCTTCTGCTTTTTTTTTTTTTTTTTTACGAGTCTGACCTCAACTATTAGGAATGGAAGGACCACAGTATCTGCTGGGATGCTCTCCTGTCAGTTGTCATTTCTGTCCCTCATCAGTATCAGAAGACTTGCTCTCCTGGTCTGTGGCATCTTCATTCTTCCTGTTAAACCTTGAACTTGTGTCCAGAAAAGAAATTATTTGTTGATACCGATAGCTGTGACTGGTCAATTGCTTGGGTCACCATTTGCGTCATCCAGCTGATTTGCCTGTGTCATGTCTTTATTTTATGTAATACGCCTTGAGCACCTATGCTCAGAAGACATTCAATGGCTGTAAAATTGTAGGGAAGCGACTTTGTCACTGACATGAAATTTGACATTCAGCTGGAGATGCTGGTGGTTGTTGTAGGACCACTTTTATCTTCTCCTGCTGCTAGAAGGTGGATTGTTTTATTAGCTACACATTCATTTTTTAATCACAGCTTAGCACTGTTTTATATACATCTGTATTATAGCAACTGAATAAATCATTATTATAATTATTATTATATGAATATGCAGGCAGCTGATTTTAGCTTGTTTTGGAAAGAAAATAAAATGTCCCAACTCCACAAAGTCTTATGTCTTCATTCTTTCATTCCATAACCTTGTGTTTGTATGTATTTATTTCTATTTAGGAATAGTTTGTTATTTTGGGAGGCTCTTTACTAATAATCATGTTTTTAATGAGGTTGTAAATTGTACACCAGCCATGATAGCCATTAAAAGAAGTGAAACTACCGATTGTTCTTTCCGGAAACTAGTGCTGCTGTATTGAATAAAAAATTCAGGATCTCCATAATACAAAGACATTTTTTCATCACCCTTTTATATAAAATCTGAGTTGTCAAGTGAGTTCTTTGTGTATCAACTCAGTATATTCGTTTTTGTTTTACTCTTCACAGTGTATAAGTGTATAAGCAATTCAAAATTCTCAACCCTTTTTCCAATGTTATGATTGTTAGATTTGATGTTCTTATGTCTTAAATGTTTACAATTTCACACAAGATCAATATTGATATTGCAACTGCGGTGTTTTGTTAAAAGCACCAGAATGAAATAAGAAATTAACTTAAAAATTCATTGACATTTTGCTAGATCTTTCACACAATATATGGTGTGACCATTGTGTTAATTGAGAAAATGTTTGTAAGACCCAACACCTCAATATGACATTTTCAACTGTATACATGTAATGTAGCAGTACCTTATATGGAAGCATACTGAAGTTGAACAGTAACTACTACTACTCAGTTTCATTTCAAGTGATGAACTAACAAAGAAAAAGACTAGAGTTGTCAAGTGATATTTCAATAATAGTCTCACAATAATGATTCAAGGCCTGAGGAAGGAATGGGGCTTAAAATATATCTTTTCTATGATCATATACATTGTCTTGACATGTAAGTGGTACCCTGATCCAGATTATGGAGGAATAAATCAAATAAAGTTTAATGATGAATATGAATGATTTGGGAGCTGTGACACTAGCACCATAATTAGCATTTCATTATTGTTCGTTGGAGAAAAGGTTAAATATGATGCTTTTGGAATTTCTTGATTCTATTACTGTACAAGTAAATATGGCAACTATAAAGAAAAAAAACTCTTTGTTGCGGTGTTTATTAATAAATACAAGCAGCATTTTACAAAGCATCTGTGACAGTTTTACACAAGATGGTACAAAAACAAACGTCAAAAGGTAAATTTTCTCCATAATTTGACTTCACAGGATATAACAAAGGGCTCATAGTCATTTTTTTGACATTGCAATTCAAATCCAAGTAGTTGGACATCATACTGAGCGCAGCATATGTATTCATACCAATAGTATTTTAAGAATATGGCAGAAAACAAAGTGGCTGATATAACTTGGTTAATAAGGTAAAAAAAAAAAAAAAATTAGTTTGTGACATAATTCCAAATATATACATATACATATGTATGTGTATGTATATATTATCATATACATATACAATGCATGCAACTTACATACATATACACACACTTAAATATGAAATGAAGAGCACATTTGATGAGACCCAAAATGCACCATGAATTATTTAGTAATAAATAATGCTATTAATGGCTTACATAAAGCCAGTTTTCAGTTTGAAAAGGAAAATGTTAAAAATTTTAGTGTATGTGTAAGCTGTAAATATCAAAACAAGGTGAGACATTCAAGGGACTAAAAAGCCTAATTTTTTGTATCTCCCAACATATTTTCCTGGTTTTATATATATATATTTTTAAACTGCTTTGTTGATTTCATTTCTGCCTCCATGTAATACTGGGTTTTAATATTGTTTTTTTATGCTATCTGCCATAATAGTTTTTTTCAAGTAATCTGTGTTTAAATTAAAGCTAGATTTCTTCTGTTTTTTTTTTTAAATAAAATTGGCATGTTGCTTAACAGTCTTTTTTCCTTAAACTATCAGACAATTTCTGCAAGGAGTATATCTTATCTTTTGTTGAGCCAGTTATTTTTTCATTTGTAAAGCACCATGCATAAAACACATTCCCCATACTTTTCAGGAGCATACATAAGCATTTGTTTATATAAGAAAAGACATGATGCATGAGGTGCATCTTTAAAAAAAATTATAAAATATAGTTCAACGATATATCAATATGAAATTAAATTTATTGCAAACACTTTTCTCATGCTCTTACTGCCTTGATATCAGATATGCTATCACATCATTACTTTGTTGCCATATGCAGTTTTAATATCTTTCTTTTATCCAAATCACCATATTTGTTTTTTAGATAATACACTTCTATGAAATGTCAAAAAGGAAAACCTCTGAATACTTCTTACAGACGAGCAATGAAATTACAATCACCAATGCATCTTCATAAATATTTTCCACAAATAGTTACAGGTTTTCAAGCAACTTTCCATGTATATGCAACTTTTAAAAAATTCACTTAATAAATCCTTTTCACAGAAAAGTGTACATCTTGTACTATGAGTGTAATATAATTTAGGGAAAAGAAAAAAAAATTATCCTCCTGAGTTTATATTGGAGCATGCTTGATACTGATTAGTAAAATTATCCTGTGATATATTTTTTGGTGGGTTATTACATATACATAATTTCAGTACAAAATATCTGACAAGATATGTAATCTCCAGAACACACATTTTAGTGACTCCAAAACAGATAACACTTTATCCTTCTTCAAAGACTGTGATTCACACATGCATGTAATCAGCCAAGTTGTCTTCATTAACAAAGTCTAAAATTGTAAAACAAGCATTCTCTAAAACACTGTATGGAGTGAATCCTGAGCATAAAAAGACATGAAGTAAATAGTAACTAAAACAACAAAAAATACATCACAACCTCACAGAAAGACTCACAGAAAATTTATCATATAACAGCACATAAACAAAAATAAAATAATACACAATCCTAACAAACACTTTTTTAGTCATAACAAAATTTCCTCTGCTATGAAACAAACTGGTATCAAGCAACTGCATTTTAAAGATAATCCTTTAAAACACGAGAGCTGCAACACATGCAGAATTCTTCAGATTTGTGCTTATATCTTACATGCTGCACATGACCTGGTTTTAACTTATGTATATGAATTCTTTAATTAATACAAGGGTAAAAAACTGAGAAGAGGACAAAAACTAGAAAGGATATCCAATGGCCTTACATTCACATTCTCTATGTCCAACCTAAACTTGACAGCAGTAGTGAGTCGACGTTCATTATTTGTGGCATTAATAACAAAAGGGATAACATCACTTCCATTCTTCCATCATGTCTACTTTGTAGTACACAGGATTACATATCAAAAAGTTTGAGACAAATTTTTGGATAACATACCATGAAAATCAGATTCATCAACTGTACCATACCATTAGAAGCTAATGATGTTACACACTGCGACCAAATAAATTCTATATCCACAAGCATTAATCGATTTATAGGTGAACACACGATGAAAGCTATCTATCTCATACTGATACATCAATTTTGAATACAGGATTATCTGGAATTAAACTGTTATTTGTGGTATGCACCACCATACTTAATTTTACTACTCCTACAAATTTCCACATAGAAATATCAAATAAAATCTTTTGGTTAACTGATTTTTTTCAATGTTCTTTTTCTTTACTTACTCATGCAGAGTCCAGATTATACCTCATTATGCCTAGATGGCAACATAAACAGATTATCATTCAGCTTTACATTGTTACTTGTTGCATTCTAATGTGTCTTAAATTGTATACCAGCACTAAATAGTTATTAAACTAAACTACACTTGTCTTTAAAATGGTAAAAGAATAGCTTATTCATCTTCCTCCCTCATACTTAAAACATGCTTTGCTTCCACATGGCTAAAACCGCAATTTTCCAATTATCCAAGCTGACTGCTCATAAAAATATGAAAATCGGCCAGAATTCCATGGAGATAGAAATAAAATTATAATTTGGAAGCTTAAATTAAAATAAAAAGTGTCATTCCAATTGAATGCATTAAACGAAAATGCTTCTCCAGTTTCCCTCTTGGACCGATAAATAGAACCAATTCAGTTGCACAAATACTCACAGCTCATAGCAACTTGAACAAATCAGCCTTATATATTAAGCCTTTGCACCACAAATTAATTATGTGCATGATATATGCTATTTTATAATAATCTATATATCAGTTATTCAGATTCAAAATCGGATAAGAAAGAGGTCTGTTTGTGAACTGTAGAGCTTATTTTTCATAACTGTGACATCCCCAAAAAATGCATACATAAAGAAAGAATAAACATTCCACAAGTTACTTGTCCATGAATGCAAAGGGAGAGCTTGGATTTTTTTTTCATGGAAATCCATAAAAAGAATCAATTATTAGAAACAGATTTTCTTTCACATCATTATCTCAATGGCTTTTTCCTAATGCTATATAGCACCACAAATGTACCTTATAACCTCTTTACATATGTAGTGACAATTAGTAGAAAGTATATATAACTGGAGCTTGCTGATTCCGATTATGATGAACTTCACATCCACTTATGATGACATTCAGGGAAATTCTTTATTTCATAAGAAAGAAAGAAAGAAAGAGGCGGAGGACGAAGAAGAAGAAGAAGAGGAAGAGGAAGAGGAAGAAGACAGAAGAATGAAGAAGAGGAAGAAGAAGATGAAGAGAAGAAAGAAGAAGAAGAAGAAGAAGAAAAGAAGAAAGGAAGGTAGAAAGAAGGAAAGAAAGCAAGAAAGAGGAAGGAAAGTAGAAAGAAGAAAGCAAGAAAAAAATCCAAACTATTAGTCATTCAATTTCCATCTCCTAAATAGTTAACAGTGTTCAGTAATGACTAGATCT